CACAGCCAACCCCCCAAGACACTGCTCAGGAGCGGGGGCCACAGCCACACCCCCCCCAGACACTGCTCAGGAGCGGGGGCCACAGGCAGGCCTCGGGAGAGGCCGGTAAGCCACTAGCCCGAAGCCCAGTGGCAGAGCTGGGTCTGAGCTCAGCAAACGCCAGCTGCACAGGCGGCCAAGTTCAGACATGGGAATGACTCAGAAGCACCTCTTGTGAGCACATCATAAGCCAAATTAATGCCGTTCCCAGAAGTGCTAACCCTGTCCTTATGTAAACACACAGACATTAGACCGGAAATGCCAAATACTTTACCATTGCGGGCTCTCCAAGGAAAAGAGGAAGTTGATTGATTTTACCATCATTCAAGTGTTTTGCCAATATCTAAAACATGAAAAATAAATAAGCTGATTAACTGCCACACCTACACACACACAAACTTTCAGTGTCAAAAGATACTGTACCTTGGGCTGTTTAAGTGTAAAACCAATTAATAAAGTAAGGACAGACTTAAAAACATAGCAACTACCTGTTCAGGAAAGCTTTTCTTAACCACCACAATGACTTTTACAAGATACTATTGTGTGTGTGTGTGTGTGTGTGTGTACACAAGTGTGCATGTGTGTCTATGCATTTATGTGTGTACGTTTATTTGTATACATGTATTTATGTGTTGATGTATATTTGTGTGTATACAGGTACGTGTATTTGTACCCTGTTTATATGTATTTATGTGCACATGCACGTATACACATGTTTATGCATGTTGATGTGTATACATGTGTGCACTGCATTTACATGTACCCGTGTTCACACGTGTCTGTGTATTGTTTGTGTATATTTGCATGCATGTGTGCATCCATGTGCTCACAGTGCTTGTGTTACATGTATACACATGTTCATGTGTGCTTGTATGCGTTGTATATGTTTGTGCATGTGTGGGTTGTGTGTATGTATGTGCGCACATGCCTGCATTTAAGTGAACATGTATTGCACACACATTTGCGTGCATTTGCATGTGTGCGTGTTTATATGCATGCACACATGTGTGCGCGTGTGTGTACCCAAGTACACGTCAGAGTAACCTCAGAAGTCACTTCTCAATTCACCATGGACTCTCGGGGATCTGACCCCCTAATCCAGTCCCATACACCTGGCTCCATACGGATGTGACCACACCAGCTACTTGAATCCTCACAGTATCAAGCACATACCCAAGTGACAGCAATTATTTGCCTGAGGAACAAGCTCTGAACGTTAGCAGGTACCACCCGCCCACTCAGGAGTCTAACGGTTACCCCAAAGGCAGAGTGATCTGAGTGCCCAGAGCTCTACACAGAGCCCTGCTCTGCTTCCCCCAGGCTAGCTCTGAGGTGTCACACTTCAGAGTACATGGAATTCCAGCCAGGATCACGCACACAGAAGCCTCTACATTCTACAAGTGATAAGAGATACTTTCAATGGTAATCTGTACTATGCCAGATTTCCACCTTCAGAATCACAGCTGCAAGTCACAGATTAAATGCATCAGTGCACACGGCAGACCCGTAACAGTAGTTGATGTAAATTTCATGTGCAAGGAAATGCTAACCGTAACTAAAATGTAAGCCTCTGAATAACTGTAGCATGCAATGTTACATCTCTTGGCATTTCCCATAGCTTTTAGAAAGTAGGTTAGTTAAGACTGGGCCTCAGTTAGCCTGAAAACTGTATTTAAATCTATAATCAGCTTTTTTTAGATTTATTTTTTCTCATTTGACTACTGGCATTTTCCTGTAAGCGTAAGATTTATGGCTGATCTTTAATTTTACACTTTGATTTTTATTTTAAAATAATACAGTGTTCTGTTTGGTTCAAGATACCTTGTACGTTTACTTACTTCATCAAAGGTAGTATACAGAGCTGTTGACTTCAGGAAAAGAAAGAAAAGACATAATTAAAACAACGTACAAGTCGTGTAACACTATTCAAAGCAGGAAAAGGGCAGTACAGGGCCCCAGACGTGAAAGCCTCTCCTGCAAGGAAACCTTTCTCCAGCGACGCCTGGGGAAGGATGCCACTGACAACAGAAGTAGCATGAAAGACATGGCAACACTGGCCGTGGCGTGCAGCCGCGCTGCGACCCTGCCCTCACAGGCGCCTGAGCAGAACCCGCTAACATTTATGGCCCCACGAACCACTGCTCACACAACAGGTGCTTCTACTGACGGCGGGATCTGTGTGCAGCGAGTGCAACTAAGTGTTTCCTCCAACCAGCAGCCTGTGTGTGTCACGCCTCCCAGGGAAATGCGTGCAGAGCTTACAGACGGGGCCCCTGCAGGTGAGCACTGCGCACCCCACACGCCCAGGCTCCTCTGCGAAACCGCAGGTGAGGAAGGCTCGGCCAGCGGGCTGCTGGGGGGCTCAGCCAGATTTCACACACAGCACGCTGAAGTCACTCAGGGTTTCATGGAAGCCAAGCACTGGAGAAACTTGTCGTCCTTATGAGTGCTTATTAACGCAGTTTCATGTGAACACTATCAAATACTCTCCAACATTTACTCCTGGGTATGCGGCGCTAAAGCCTGAACCTCCACGGGGCAGGGAGCCGCTCAGCAGTGGTGCCGGGCACAGCTGCATGGGGCCCTGGCTTCCATCCCTAGCGCCTCCATTAAAACAAACAAACCAGTAAGTAAATAAAAACGAAGCTTTTACCTTTGGCCCCCAAGCCAGTACTGCTGACCCTAAAATATTTCCTGAGCTCTATTCTGAATATCCAATTGCCTCCTAAATACCCCCACCACCTCCTCAGAGAAGCTGAATGTTCTCATCTCCATAAACTATGAGAATTAACTTCTACCTTGTTCTGTGGAATTGGTGCAAACATCTGCTCTCTCACCCCTAATCACAGGCTTCTTAAAAGTCATGAAGTCTTAGGCATCTTCACAAGCCCCTTGGCCTTGAACAGATCCTTGACCGAAATAAGCGCTCAGTAAACAATCACAGCATTTGCGCATTTTATAGTCTTACAAAGTATTTTCATTTATGTACTGCCTTATAAGTAAGTTGATGCTATGGTTACTCTGGATAAAAGCTTCAGCTAAAAAGTAGAGATTCTTTGATAGATGACCTTCTCTGTAGGAACAGTCACACTACTTCCTTGCGCCGTCAGACGGCAGTGCACAGCCAAGTTCGTGACAGCATGGGGCCCTGCAGTGACTGGCCACGCTACCACCTGGTCAATCCTGAGTACTCGAGCGAACCTCGTGGCAACTGGGGCTCCAGCCCTTCCCGCTGGAGGATCAGCGCCTCACTCACCAGCCTGGACGGCACAGCCACATGGAGGGCCCCGGAGTGGACGCCAGGGACACGGACACGGGTGCCCCACCAGAGCCCACACCAGAGACCTTGACAAAAAATGCACATGAGGCAAAGCAGAACCACCTGAGAAAGACAGGACGGAAACAGATGTGGGGAAGAGCAGCCGTTAGGCCTGAGGAGACCAGCCCTGGGAGGTCACTGCTGTGGCCGACATGGTCGGCACGGGACTGCAGGCAACGCGTGAGGAAAGACACGCGTGTTAAGGAACTGGTGAGGGGCCTGAATTACCCTGGAGGAAACAGAGGGAAAACAATCTAGCAAAGGCCGGCCCAGACTCTGAGACCCCGACAGCTGTGCAGAAGCGTGAGCCCTGCTGGCAGGCGCTGAGGGCCACTGAAGGCGTTTAACGTGAGACCACAAAAGACACGGAATCGTAAGAGTTTAGAAAATGCCAGGCAGCCGTGCGCGAATGGACGAGAAGGTGGAGAGTCAGGAGGCCTGGCTGGGAGGTGGCTCGTCAGGTGCGGCCTCGCGCTGAGGGGAGGCCCGCACGGCAAACTGGGAGCCGCCTGCAGGGCGGGTGCACGCGGAGGACGAGCTACAGGCAAAGCGTAAGACGGTGCGAACGCCTGGTGCGGAGCGACCAAGGGGATGAGGATGATAAGGAAATCACAGAACAAGCTTGTGGGGAAGAATAGGCTTTTTTAAAACGAAGTCAAGTATGAGACGCGGGGGAAAACGCACACAAAGATCCTCATCAACAGGCACAACCCTAACCTGGGAGACCGAGGACCAGCGGGCCAGCGGCAACGCCGCGGACACACCGAACTTAACGCTACAGGCCGCCCTCTCAGCACCGCTCTGGCTGCATCAACAACTTCTGCTACGTCGTGCTTTTGTTTTCACCAGGTTCAAAGTGCTTTCTATGCGGTGCTGCTCCCACAGGGGTGCCAGCTGAAGGCACGGGATACGTGGGGTCTCCCAAGGAGCTAACGCAGAGGACAGGACTGGGACGACCACTGAGGACCGCGGACGTGGCGGGGCAGGAAGAGGGAGGCGCGCCAGCGAAAGGGAGGAGACCCCCCCGGCTGGGAGACGCTGCTGCCGGCCCAGAGCACGTCCCCCTCTGCCTGCTGGGCCCCCCACTGTGAACGAGGCAGGGCCACCCGGAGACTCCGTGGGCCTCCTTGGAAGTTTGGGCCAAAGGAAGCGGTGTCCTCAGAGAGGGACGCGCCCTTAGACCGCGGCCCACCTCATGGGTGAAGATGTAGCCTGTAACACGAAAGTGTCAGCTACTTGCTTAAACTGGTGCCATAATTCAACTACTTGGAAATGTGACAGGACTCTCAAAAACAATCACAAATAAGTATATTGAAAACCACATAACAGAAAACCACAAAAAATGACAGCCAAGCCTTCTGAAGAAAGTTCTCAGCTAAAAAATTCACTTAATGATGAACAAAAGTGTGGTATTAAAAACTCCAACTAGGCACAGTAAGCAGTCAGCACACCAGCAACCGGCCCAGCCTCCAGTGCCCGCGCACCTCGGCGGTCCGCAGTCTTCCCGGGCATGCGTTAACTGCAGCAAAGACCTTCCTAAGTCCCGCCTCCAGCTGCGTCAGCAACAGGATGGCACAGTCGGCAAACCTGTGAATTGAAGGAAATAAGCAGGACCCCACGTTTTGAATGTAAACATCGGCCCTGACACTACAGTGTGGCTGCTGTGCCCCGGGTGCTACCAGGGGTGTCTGAGCCAGAGGGGTGACATTACTCACTAACATGGGAAACAAACACAGAACAGTCTAATAAGACTGGCGACTGTGAACTGTTTCCCAGGGTTTTAATGTTACATGTAGCTGCAGGAGAATAAAATGTCATCAAAGATCTGCCAAAGTGTTTCACTGCTTCTACAAAACACTCGGATACCAGGATGTCACTGGGTTCTCAAGGTATGCAAACATACGTGTCAGGACAACGCAGCCTGAAGGGACGTCAAGGCCACCGACCTCCTGACGTCCATCTTTGTAGGCTCTGCTTCGAGGGGACAGAGGGACAGACTACCTCCTCTCTGTTCCATGATTCTCTACCACTGGACACGCTTCAGCCACAGTCAGAACTCAAAACTATATTAAAAAGTTGATTCTAAAAAAGTAATTATTAACTGTACGAAAGGATGTTGCATAGCGTTTAAAACAGTCGTAAGATAACTTTTAGTTAATTACACACTTCACCACGCTTGGGCCTGCTCTTGGGAACGCCTGCCCCTAGTGCTTCTGAGCAGCAGCCAGGCAGGGAGCAGTCTGGCCCCCGAGCCACCACCAGTAACACCTCCTTCAGTACCTGTGAGACTTGAACTTGACGAGAACAGCCTCCCAACACGGCACCATGGGTTTCAGTACGAAGGCGGACTTCCTCATCACTTCTTCTAGGACAGCGAGCACCTCGTGAGTGACATCTGTAAAAGAGCAAAGGTTTTCAGCACAATCACACTGACCGACCGAAGACAAGATGTGAGCACACCGAGGGGGACGCCCCGAGCAGACCTCCTCGAGGAGGGGAGCCACAGGCCCAGAGCCGGGCATACCAGCCACAGGTGAGGCCACCTGAACTAGGGCCGGGGCTGCAGGTGACCACAGTGCCCTGGGCATGGGCAGGTGCATCTCTAGTGACTTAGGCGGCACCAGGTTGGAGCAGAGGAGGTGAGGATCAAGCAGTTGATCACACTGACCGAGAAAACAAAACATGTCTTCAGAAGACACAGGAACCAAGAGTGAACCTATGGCAATGTGGACTTCAGGGGACTGTGCCGTGTCCAGGTAGGTTCTCCCTTGGCTAAAACGTGTGCCCTCTGGTGGGCCCTTCAGCTCAGTGACTCGGAGCACAAAGGCATAGGGCTAAGGGAGGAGGGACTACATGTGATCACTGGCCCTACGCCGTCTGCATGTTGAAACACCGGTAGGGTAAACTGGCTCATTGCTCACGCCGATTCCCACAGCCATGACCCTCTGACGCCCCACATGGGTCTCGGCACAGTGGTAGGAGGTAAGGATTTATGTGGCAAAATTTAAGAGGTTCTTCATGAAACCTTCACAGGCGTCTTGCCCCTGAAATAACTACTCTCCCTACAGAGTTCAAGTCTAAATGCTACTTAATGACTTTATAAGTATCTTTACGAAGACACACTCGGGAGAATGTGCAATGTGGTACTTGCCAGGGAAAACGATCAGATCCTCCAAGTTTGTAAGAGTCACGAAGGGGCGGTGGGCTAGTGTGCGCCCGGTCTGCCGAAGGTGCCCCTGCAGGAGCTGACCCAGCCCCGCTGTCAGCAGCACCATCATCGCACAGTATCTGGTGGAAAATACCAGAGAACTGTTAGAAACAGGAACTCAGCACACATGTAAAAAGCTCTACTTTCAAAAAAAAAAGTTTAAAAGAAAGCAAAATAGCATTAAATCGCAGAAAACTCCTTGGTGGCAGGGGTGGCCCTGAGGAACAGTCACGGGGAACCACAGCTCCATCTGGGAGCTGGCACCCAGCCTCCCGCCCACAGGCCGTGCGCGGGGCAGCCTCCGGCCTGCTCTCACCTCAGACCGCCCTGGGGTGTCGGTCAGCAAAATCATGACCCCGCCACCACGCTAGCTACTCTGCTGCTGACAGTCACTTTTATCTTCAAAAGCCTGTCCTCAAACTCCCCTTTCTCTCGAAACACATCTTTCCCGGATGTGAAATTCAAGACAAAACAAACTTAAGGGTATCGTGGAAGACCTTACTTTGGGGGGAGCTCCTGGGGGGCTGCGAAGCCGTGCCACAAGACGTTGCGGAGGTTCAGCCCACGGGGAGAGCCAACGAAGACTTTCAGCACGTCCATCTGCCCGGCAGGAGAGCACATGCTTAGTTACCGAACAAACCGAGACAGCCCTGGGCTGGCGGCAGCTTCCTTCTTGGCACTGACGGAACCAACGGCTTGTCTGGTCCACGGTAACGGCAACAGCCCAAGCCCTGCTGAGTGGCCAGCCCGGGTCGGACACATCTCGCATGTGTTACTCATTCACCCTCAGAACCACCTAAGGGGAGGATACTGTTACTCCTGCGCTGCACCTGAGAAAGACACGAGCTGCCCAGGGGCCGAGACCTCCCCAGACTCCGCATCAAACACGCCCAATGTCCACATAAAGCAGAGCAGGAAACGACACCAGAAACGCAGTGGGCTGCACGTGCCTGTGGGTGCACCGCCGACGGCAGCGAGGAGGAGGCCGGCCACCAGGCTCTAGCCGCACCACCTGGCTGTGCGACTTGAAGCTCATGGTTCACCTGCCCTGTGCCTCCGTCTACAAAGCGAAGATGCCCAGGATAAGGATCCTGCCTATCGAGCTGCACCCACCACACAGTCCACAGGCTCCCTTGGGGGTGGACACCACACTTCAGAGGAGACTCAACAGTGGAAGCTGTTCAGAGCCTGAAAGGGCTCAAGGCCACAACACATAAAAGACCAGTGGGGCCTACGGCAGGCTCGGGGCAGGACCGAGAGCGGCCTTCCTCCCGTTGCCAGACTTGCTGAGGAGACAGGTACACTCTGGGCTTCCCGCAAAGGGCAGGACAAGGCCAGAGGGTGGAGGTTCTAAAGGGTTTCCACTCAGTATCAGAACGCCTACCAGCCTGTCCTCAGGGCAGCACCAGGAAGTCGTGGCTCTCACAGCAATTTTAAATACTTTAATATGAACTTAATAAATATTAATAACTATAGTAATGTGAATAATGCATTATTACTTGTTTTAATTTAAGATTAATTTTTGATTAATTGTTCATGCCACCCAGGCAGTCAGAAATATCCGTGCCAATGAACCAGTGAAACTATCCAGGAGGTGAAAGCGGCTGCAGGTGGGCAGGAGGCTCGGTGAGCAGGAAGCACAGAGCAGAACAGGGGGGTCCGCCCAGCCCGCAGCTGGTCCTCCACTCTCCACTGGAGACAGCAGTCCGCAAGCTGACAAGGGGAAGGGACCGCCACGGAGAGGGAAGGCTTCACTGGAAACAGATTTCTTATCCACAAATAATGGGTCCCGCTGGTGCATCCTCCTGGCTCGGCAGGCCCAGCCTTCCGCATGACACGACCCTGGTTCTCCTTTCCACCTGATCCTGCCTCATTCAGTTGTTAACGGTTATTCATTAGGTTTAAACAATCTCGATCTTGTGACCTTCAGAAGATTTTAAAAAGTACAGAGCTCTGCATGTTTTTCAACTGGCATCTCAATTTTTTTCACCATCAGTTTGAACAGCTGCAAAAGGCATCACTTCTCACATGATAAAAACGCTGATTATTTATGATAAAGCTGTGACGTCACTCTTTAAAGGGTGAAGTCTTTACTCTAGAGTAAGTTGTATTGTAATTAGCAATATGTAATTAGTGAGGCTAGCAGACTTCCAGCCGTGCGTGCGACTGGCCCTCCAGAGGCTACTACGTCAGAGGTTTCCCACCAGAGGGGATGACGCCACACTGACACGCAGGATGAGAGCTGCGTCTCTGGCTGGAGGAGCGGCGGTTTTTGTACTGGTAAAGGGGGAGGTTG